CTAAAGAACAGCATGAACAAGTGTTAAATCAAAGCACCAAGGTTTTCCTCTACTGTGCCTTTTTGGACTACAGGTTGGTGTGTGCTTGTGCTTTATAAAACGAAAATTTCTCGTTTAAATCTAGGGCCAAGAAGATTTTATCTTAATAATGTTTTTTTTTATATATTTGTTGTTCTAGTCTCTGAGGCTTTAATCATAAAAAAGATCAGCTATTTTGAAAATGATCCATTTCCTTTTGCTCCTTCAAATCCAAAACATCCAGCGATGCGTGTGTTGCTGGTGCAGCTTGACGTTGAGCAACAGCCCTCTGCAGAAAAATGCTGCTTTAAAAACTGAATCCAGGACACTGTTTAGAGAGCATGAATCAATTTTAAAAGAGGAGTCTGATTTAGTTGGATTCAAAGGCTTTCACCTCTTGCTTCCTTCTTCCCCTCGAGCTCATGAAAACTGTGAATTATTACACGATCCTGTCAGATTGCCAGGGTAAAATCAGCAGGAAAAAAGTTGTTTGCATGCCTCCCCACAATGGATTAATTTTGAGCTATCTCTGCCAGACATGTTCATGTAAAAACAACCCCGTCCTTTTTATTTGTTGTTTTTTGTTTTTTGCACATTTATTCTTCAATTTTTAAATTATTTACTGTGTGAATGTTCTTTACAGTTCTAATGAGGGAGTGTGGTCCAATGAAGGCTGTGTGCGCTCAGAGGGAAACATGTCGTATTCTGTGTGTTTGTGCAACCACCTCACCAACTTCGCCATCCTTATGCAAGTCGTGCCCTTGGAGGTAAGTATTATTTTTTCCTTCCTTTTTTTGTGGGCAAAGGAGGTGGGTGCTGCTCTTGTTTTTTAAGACATAAAAAATGGAAGATCTTCCTTATGAAAGAATTTGCCTGGATGAAAGTCTACCGTAGGAAGCTCTAGAGACTGTATGTTCTTTAAAGCACTGTTGRTGCCTTTTCAAATGCGTTGTCCATACCAAAAGCACTGATGCACCCATATACCATCAGTGAAGCAGGCTTTTGAACTGTGCACTCATAAGAGGTGGATGGTTTAGTACAAAGGATTTGGTGTCTTTGGTTTCCAAAAATAATTTTAAATTTCAACTTAATTGTTGAACAGCTTCATCACTTTGCTTCAGTTCACACTGCAAAAAATAACTTGTAAGATTTAGATAAAATCCTTATAACAATTTTCAAGTACATTTTCTGCTGTAAAATCAGGTATGATATACTTGTCATTGTTAAGTAAAATGTACTTACCACCACGATTCATTCCAAACAAAGTCATGAATTTACCAAGTAATTGTTACTCAGTTAGTTTGTCACACTTATGTAAATAAATTAGGTAAAATAAATAAAATACTGTCATATATAACAATATTTTATTTACTTCACTTAATTTTACTAAGATAGCCTTTATTATCCCTCAGTGGGTGTCAAGATTGTGAAGGGGTTGGACCCAGACCGCTGGCAGGCATGAGGAGTTTAACAAAATGAAAAATGTATTAAATAAAAGCAAACTATCGACATGGCGGCAGAACTTACAATAAACACTTGAAGAAGATGATTGTAGGCATACAATGAACAAACAAGAACGTGATGACAAGAGACTGGTTAAATACACTGAGGGAGCAGTGGGCTGCCATTTAAAAGGGACATAGGCAAAATCCACTTTTTTTAGTAATTTAATGCATTTTTTGTGAGTCTCTAGGAGTGCATTGCAGTTTAATTTAGTGTCTCTATGTGCCACATAGATATCTTTATATTCTGTTTGGGTCATATTTTTCAACCTGTTCAGTTTTCTCTATCTTCTTTGATGTTTTCTGAACTATTATGTCAAAGTACCTGCAACAAAATCAATATATAATGTCTGGACTTACTTACTTGCGGCGTTACAAGCTGTTTCTTAGTTGTACCAGTTACTTTTACAAAGTGTTTTTGACCATGTTTCAACATTATTTGACTTGTGTCACTGACATTAAATTAAATATAAAGACATTTTTTTCTCAAATAAAATAAATGATGCTTCAGTTCATTCAGGTTTTTAGGTTAGCTCAGTCCATTGGATACATATCTGCACTTTAAACTCACTGAAAAAATGTCTTCACTGTTTTTCTGTTTGTTCTTGCACCACTCAGTTTTGCCCAGGCTTTACTTTTCAGACAGAAGGCCAAAAATATGATTCTATACTTCAATGAATATAAATATAGAGGAGTTTAGGGTTTGTGGCTGCAGAACAAGCTCAAATCATCAAACGTCCACTGCCATTCTCCAATCATGGTCCCTAACTGAATATTTTCAATGATGATGTTCACAATCTTGGGATTTCTCTATATGTAACATTACAAACTCAGGSTTTGGAGAGACAACAGGCTTTTTCCTGGCAGCTGTCAAAACCTGCCATACTTGTTCAGTCCTTTTTAACTGTGCTGACAGGAACTTTGACCTTCAACTTGCTAACTGAGCCAGGAAGGACAGGGATAGAGCTTTTGAGTTTTTGCCATTTCTCTAAATATTGCACAGTTTGATATTAATATGAAAAATGTTCAATCCTGATGACTGATGACAATGGATTCAAATARTCATTTTGTTTTTATTTTTCTACTGCTTTTTTATTTTGAAATGACCTCATAACCTCTCTCAGATTGATGGAAAGCAAATGTTACTCTTCTAAGACGATTTATGATGTGTTTGCTCTTTGACATTACGCTAACACAAATCAAAATTCTCCAGATCAGCAACAAACAACCAAAGACCAAGATGTCCATGTGTTTACAAAAACTCAAAGGCTCCACAAAGGTTGGACCAAAGTTCTGTATTATATTAATAATAATAATAATAATTATGATTATAATATTTGTGTTTATTAATTAAATAATTAATTTTGAACATTGTAAGAGAAAAAGTCAATATACTACTACTAATAATAATAACTAGAACATATTGAAAAAAGTTTCCTGTCAGCAAAAAAACCCAGATAATAGAATAGAATAGAATAGAATAGAATAGAATAGAATAGAATAGAATAGAATAGAATAGAAATAGCCTTTATTGTCCNGAATAGAATAGAATAGAATAGAATAGAATAGAATAGAATAGAATAGAAATAGCCTTTATTGTCCCGCAGAGGGGAAATTCAGGTGTCACAGCAGCATCAGTACAGAGGTTCACACAGTAGTTACTTTACAAGCTACAGATAGTGCTTACTAAACAAAAATTAACAATGACTAGCCATGATACAACTACTAATAATAAAAAAATATATATAATATAAATAATTATGCAAGGATAGGAAAAGATATGTTTACCTGTTAACCAGGTAAAATATTAGGGCACTTGGGCCATGGCAATAAATAACAAAAGTGACACATTATTTTCAGTATGACCAGTGCCTGAAATTGAGCAGGAAGACGTTTAAACATAAACCATAGATTAATTAACTTAATTTAATTTTTGACTGATATGGAAGCATGTGGTTTCATGATTTTCAGTTGACCTATTTTTTTCTTATTGAAATTTGTTGTTGTCTTATTGTTAGGAGCTATTATGTTTTCAGAATAAAATGCAGCAGGCTTCTGTTTTCAGGCTGTGTGCCTCCCCAGCACTGAGCTTTAGTCCTTAAACTGTATTAATGAAAGCAGTGCAAAAAGCAAAAAGAATACATGACTGTTATTAAAAGCATACAGTCACAGGCTCAGCTTCAGTCGTGCTTTTCCAGTAAAGCAGTGACAAACATTATAATGTGTGGTTCTTTCAGGTCTTTGTGTCACTGAATCATTTTCATAAGATCACAGCTTCCAACTTGTCCTTTTAAAAAACATCCACTTAAATTCCCTGTTCTCCCAGTTATTCCTTTCTTCCCCTCTGGCTGCCGTCCTCCACAGCATTAGACTCATTCAGAATCCCACCTCTGAAAACGCCTGTCACTTTGCTGCAGAGATTGCGTGCTATGAAAGTGCAGCTAGCATCCACAATAGCGTTTTTTAAAAATAGAAAAGTCGACTTGTTTTTGCAGCTCAGTGAAGTAGTTGGGTATTTAAAGGCACACAAGTCTATCTGATGCTATACATTCCCACAGCCGGCCTCTAATTAGTGGGCTGCCTCATCTCCCCCGCCAGCTGCAAAGGGAACATCCCACGTTTCCCTTTTCTTGAAGCCTGCGACTCTCCTGCCCTCATAATGACAGGGCACATGTGTAGACAGTTCATAGAGAATCAAAACCAAACCCTCAAAATAGATGGAACTCCAAAACAACATCTATGCACGAAGCTCATCACCATCGATGCTTGCAGATCCAAAGCATATCATCATAATGATATTTAAGCTTCTTGGACTTTTTACATTTTGTTCATTCAGTTCATTTGACCTAAAACCATCAGACAAATATTAATCATCACTGCTGTGCACAGATTAGATCAGCCTTTCTCATGAGCCTCCTGTTTGCATTTCTGCCTGCTGAAGCAGAAACATAGTGAAGCAGGTTACATTAGCACTGCTTATATTTAACGAGTGGCTACCATTTAGGACAAATGATCCATGTTGTCCATCATCTGTCCCCTCACACAGCTCACCACTGACCACAAGATGGCACTATCAACCATTGGTTACATCGGCTGCTCCATCTCCATCTTCTGCCTTGCCATCACGCTGGTTACTTTTGCCGTCCTTTCGTGAGTTTCAGTCTCTTGGTCACAGTTGTGGAACATTTAACAAATAGGATCACACTTTTACAAATAAATAGATGATCTGTTGAATGTATACTGTTTTTTAATTAAAAATGTGCATTTTTAGACAAGCCCTCCATTGTTACTGCCTGCAATTTAAAGGGGTGATATTTTTGCCTCTGTGTGTTTGTCTGTAGTGTTAGAAAAATATCTCATGAACCAGCAAATGGATTTTAATGAAGCATGCAGAAAATATCCAGTGAATGTTCATCTATAACTTTTTAGAGTCAACCCAAATTTAAAAAGCATTGCCAGAACTRACTATGTTTGACACAAAATCGGCTACAACTCAGTCAGTTTTACAGAAAATGAGCTGAAGTTTGATGTAGTAGCAGCTGCATGGGTGTAATTTGCAGGGGGGGGGGGTATGATTCCCATAAAATTACATAATTTGCTCTAACACAATAGAAATTAACTGGTTAAGCACACAGCAGCAACTCTCTCGTTATCTTTAGGTAACTTTGACCCATTTAAGCATAATAGCTGAAAATGACGTGCAGGGTTTTAGTCTGCTCTTGTCACATTATGGCTGTATTTGTTGAATCACGTGTTGTAATTTTTCCTGGCAAATTTGTGAGCCAGTTTCTTGCCAGTTTCTTGAAAAACTGAGAAATGTGGGTATGTCGTACATCCTAAAAAATGTAAAATGTTTGTTACTGTTGGAAAAAATGTGTGTGTGTGTGTGTGTG